ATTGGCCAGGCTGGTCTCAAACTCCTGACCTCAGGTGATCCACCTGCCTTGGCCTTCCAAAGTGCTGGGATTATAAGCATGAGCCACTGCGCCCTGGCTGCTTCGGAGAGTTTTACAGAGAGGAGTAACAATATTTTGATTGCAACGATCATTGTAGGTGTCATAAGGAGAACTAACTTTTTTTTTTTTTTTGAGACAGAGTCCCACTCTGTCACCTAGGCTGAAGTGCAGTGGCACAGTCATGGCTCACTAAAGCCTTTATCTCCCAGGCTCAAGTGATCCTCCCAACTCAGCCTCACGAGTAGCTGGAACTACAGGTGCACACCACCCTGCCCAGCTAATTTAAAAAAGATATTTTGTAGAGACAGGGTCTCACTATGTTGCCTAGGCTGGTCTTGAACTCCTGGGCTCAAGCAATCCTCCTGCCTGACCTCCCAAAGTGTTGGGATTACAGGGGTGAGCTGCTATAGCACCCAGCCAGAGAATTGATTTTAAGAGTGGAAACTGTATTTTCTTTTCTTTTTTCTTTTTTTGACTGAGTCTCGCTCTGTCGCCAGCAGGCTGGAGTGCAATGGCGTGATCTCAGCTCACTGCAACCTCTGCCTCCCAGGTTCAAGTGATTCTCCTGCCTCAGCCTCTCTACCTCCTGGGTTCAAGCGATTCTCCTGCCTTGGCCTCCTGAGTAGCTGGGATTACAGGCACCCACCATGACTCCCGGCTAATTTTTTGGTATTTTTAGTAGAGACGAGGTTTCTCTATGTTGGTCATACGGGTCTCAAACTTCCGAACTCAGTGATCCGCCCGCCCCGGCCTCCCAAATTGTTGAGATTACAGGCGTGAGCCACTGCGCGACCAGAAACTGCATTTTCAAGAGACAGCGGTGGCTTGGAACAGAGTGGTAGCAGAGTAGAGAGAAGTGAGCATGGGTTGAGATATGGGTTAGTGATTGAGTCAGTGGGTGACGGATTGAATAGATGGATGAGAGAAAGAAAGAAGTCAATGAGCAACCAAGATTGAGGCTACTTATTTGAGCCTATTTATTGAGATGGGGGCAAGTGGGGACGGGGGAGGAAGATCAAATGCTTAGTTTTGGATATATACATTTTGAGACTCCTGTTGGGTAATCTGGATATGCAAATGTGGAGTTCAGGGAAAAATCTAGGAGGGAGTCAAAGCCATGGTCTGGATGAGATTTCCTAGGGAGAGTGTCTAGGTAGAAAGAATAGAGACCCAGAACTACGCCCTGGAGTACTGCAGCATTTAGGGACAGGGAGATGAGGAGGCACCCATGAAATAGAGCAGTGGTTCTCAAAGTGCGATCCCAGGACCAGCAGCCAAAGCATCGGCTGGCACTTGTTAGAGACGCAGATGGTTGGGTCCCACCCAAGATCTACTGCCTCAGGACTTCCAGGGTGGGGCCCAGTGATGGGCGATCAGTGCTTTAACTCGCTTCAGGCGATTGTTATGCAGGCTACAGTTTAAGAATCACTGAGGTGAAAGACAAACCAGGAGAGGTTGTGTTTTCAAAGGCAAGAGAATAAATTTTTCTTTTCTTTTCTTTTTGGAAACGGAGTCTCACTCTGTAGCCTAGGCTGGAGTGTAGTGGCACAATCTTGGCTCACTGCTGCCTCTGCCTACTGGGTCCCGCCTGGTTCAAGCAATTATCTGCCTCAGCCTCTGGAGTAGCTGGGATTGCAGGCACATACCACCACACCCACCTAACTTTTGTATTTTTAGTAGAGACGGGGTTTCACCATGTTGGCCAGGATGGTCTTGAACTCCCGACCTTGTGATCCACCCGCCTCAGCCTCCCAAAGTGCTGGGATTACAGGCGTGCACCACGATGCCTGGCCCAAGAATAAATTTTTCAAGAAGGAAGGAGTGTGTTAGATGCAGCTGAGAGTGCGGCTAAAATGATGGCAGAGGCCTAGCCATTGGATTTTGTAACATGGATGTTATTGCTGGCCTGGACAGGTGAGACTTCAGTGGAATTGGGGGTGGTGGGGGGAGCAGCAGCCGTATGGGAACTAGACAAGGTGTGACTGAAAGTGGGATGAAGTGGCATCAAGACTGTAGACCTGACCAGCCGCGGTGGATCACACTTGTAATCCCAGCACTTTGGGAGGCCTAGGCAGGAGGATTACTTTGAGCTCGGGAGTTTGAGACCAGCCTGGACAACATGGTAAAACCCTGTCTCTACTGAAAATATAAAAATTAGCCAACCGTGGTGGCATGTGCCTGTAATCCCAGCTACTCCGGAGACTGAGGCAGGAGAATCACTTGAACCCAGGAGGCAGAGGTTGCAGTGAGCCAAGATCATGCCATTGCACTCCAGCCTGGGTAACAAAGCAAGACTCTGTCTCAAAAACAAAAACAAAAACAAAACACCCCAAAAAACTATAGACCCACTGTCTAGCAAAGGATTAACTTAGCAGGCTTGGGTTGATCAAACCTGTGCATTCCAAAGAAAAGACTGGGCCTGGACCAGCTCCACAGCAGGTAACTTCTACGCCCTTGGAACATCTGCCTGATGAGACTGTCTTTGTTTACCTTGGACCATGCCAGATAATTTAATGATGACAAAGTTTTTTGTGGCAAATGCCCTTGGTCACCCTGTATCAGTTTGGCCTCTGGAAGGGGTCCTGAGACACAGCAGTTAAGATCAGCCACACAAGTGCTCCATTACATAACTGACCCCCAGTACAGACCCTGGATGTAAGGCTGGGGTGAGCTTCCCTGATGGACAAGTCTCTCATGTGCGCGTCACACATCACTGCTGGAGAGTGATGTGCTGTCCGCAGGACTTTGGGAGAGAGCAACTGGAATCCTGGTCCTGGCCTGTCCTGCATTCCACCCTATGTGCCTTTCTCCTTGGCTAATTTGCGTCTATATCATTTCAATGTTATAAACCATAACCACGAGTTTAACAGCTTTTCTGAGTTCTGTGAGTCCTTCCAGTGAATCATCAAACCCGATGGTGGTCTTGGGGAACCCCTGATACACCTGAGTTTTAAAGAAGTTTTGCAGTGAAAGGAGAAAAGGAATGAGTGCCAGCTGCAGGAGGTATGGGCTCAAGGCGGGCATTCTGTGTAAGAGAGGAGATACTCGGCTAGACTCCCAGGCCTGCCGGAAATGACGAAGTAGATAAGGATAGGTTGGTAACGCAGGGGAAACGTTGGTGAGAAGGTGAAGAGGAAGGGGTCCATGACACAGTGCCTCTGATAGGAGCAGCGACAGTTTATTCAGAGTGACTGGGGGAAGCCAGAAAATCCGGGTATGGTGCGGGTTTGCAGGCAGACTTGGTGGTGGCGTGATGGGGGAAGACTGAACTAATGGTTTTCTTAATGAACTAGGAGGCAAGGCCATCTTTGAGTGTGCAGAGCTGGGAGTGGAGGGCTGTAGACTTGAGGAGAGGGGATATGATACAGTCCCTTTGCAGAGCAAGACGCCAAACAAGGAATGTGTACTGAGATTGCAGGGCAGAGTTGGAGATCTCCGGCAAAAGAGTGAAAATAAGAGTCAGGCTGGGCACAGTGAGGCACACCTGTAATCCCAGTACTTTAGGAGGCCTAGGCGAACGGATCATTTGAGGCTTGCGGTCAAGAGTTCGAGACCAGCCTGACTAACATGGTGAAACCCTGTCTCTACTAAAAAAAAAACAAACAAACAAAAATAAAATTAGCCAGGGATGGTGGCGTGTGCCTGTAGTCCCAGCTAGCTATTCAGGGGGCTGAGGCAGGAGAATCCTTTTAACTTGGGAGGTGGAAGCTGCAGTGTGAGCCGAGATTGAGCCACTGCACTCTAGCCTGGACACAGTGAATCCATCTCAAAAAAAAAAAAAGAAAGAAAAGAAAATGAGACTCAACACACACCAAAACCCATGCTTTTTCACATCTGTGTTCAATTGTGCAGGTGCACAGCAGAATTTCACCAGGGTTGGACCTAGCCAGCTGGGTGGGACAGAGGGAGACAGAGAGTGTTTGCAAGTAAATTGGTGCAACAGAGGATAAACAAGGCGTAGCTGCCTGCAGCTTAATTTTGCTCAGTGGTAATTAAAATACTTTTATTTTAAAACAAATCTGGATTCATTCTGGAGTAGAATGGAAAAGTGCATGAATTTTTCAGATAATTTAGCAGACTTCAAGTGCAGTTTCCCTGTTTTGAAGTGCCACTTCCAGGGATACTTTACCCCCTGGTCTTCACGTGGTGAATCTACTCTTGTTGGAAGTTTGGAAAGCTTTGGAAAAGTCTGGAAAGCCCTGTCCTGCAGGTGTAATCCCCTCACCCCTGGCCAGCACCCTGACTTTTCACCGTGATCATCTGAGATCAACATCCAACCAAGAACAGTGATAGTATTGATAGAGGAGGAGGATGATGCCTTTGTGTCTCTAAGATGGTGTGTGCAGGGTAGGCTGGGGACTAGTTCACGACCCTCTTAAGGATGGGGTGGGTGCTGCAGGGGTGGGGTGGGGCAGCCGAGCCTGATGCTGGTCTTAGAGTCCAGTCTAGAGGCCAAACATGTCAGAGGAGTCTGAGTAGTGTGGGGAAGGGAACGGCTGAAATACAACAACTGGGATACCTCACCCATGCCCCCCTCCCTAGGACTCCAAGAGATGAAACACTGGGGGTCCAGGCAAGTGACTGGGACAGACTGGGTTCCAGGAAGCAAGTCAGGGACCCGGATCCCAGAACTGGAGCACATGGTGTGGACGGGGTATTGGGAATGAGGCCGAAGCCCAATTAACAGAACTGGGACACGTTCCATGTGGGACTTGCATTCTTTACATCCTTCCTGCATAAATCCTGGGAAATGGGGTGTGCCTGAGCCTGGAACAGGCAGAACTTGTCAGCTGGGGGCCTATTTAGGGGTGTGTGTGGCTTTGGTACTTCCAGGATCAGGCACCTCCTCTGCCCTTCCCTGCTGCCCTGTCCAAAGCATCCCCCTCCTGCCCGTTCACCTCCCACACAGGGCAGCCCCATCCCTGCAAAGAAGAGCCTCAGAGTAAACAGCATGTTTATTTTGAACATTCAAATTTACAAAAACAAAAAGGTAACAAAACCATGACACAGATCACACACACACATACACACGCACGCACACGCACACACGTTGCAGCTCATGTCAATTTATGTACAAAACAGGGAGAGGAGAAAGGGGCGAGGCTGGGGAGGAGTTGTCAGTAGGGTGCATTAATGTCACAGTGTCGGACAACTTGACATGCTCACTCACACTCGGCCTGGCCCCATGTGAGCCCCTTCCCCACACAGGAGTCAGGGGATCAGGGTGGGAGGTGGGGTCTGGAGTGGCAGGCAGCTGGAATAAAAGGGCAAAGAGAGTAATCCCATCTCTGGCAGGGAGCCCCAGTTTACTCAGGCCAAGGGTGCTGGGATGCACAGAGAAAGGGCGACTCAGTGCTGGGGAGAGGCTGCTGTGTCCTAGAGAGGGCTGAACGCAGTCAGAAGGCTGGGCTCAAGTCTCCCGTGTTCAGCTGGGTGGTCTTGAGGGTCCCTCCCCTCCCTGGGCTTCAGCGTCCTCATCTGTAAAAACGAGCGCTTCGGCCTTCTCTTGGAGCGCTTCCTGCCCAAATCTGTGGTCCCAGCTCATGCAAAGTTGTGGCAAGGGAATTGGTCCCCTTGAGATGTCGGTGGGAGCACCACATGCCACAAGATGGGAAGATCTGGCAGATAACAGCTGGGAAGCACCTGGCGCAGGGCTTGGCTCCAAGCAGGAGTTGGAGGAGCAGCAATTTCCCTCCCCTTCCCTGCCCAGGACCCTCAGGAGATGCTCAGCTTCCTTTTCTTTTTTGGTTCTCCTGTGAACTCCAGCTGAGCTAGAGAAAGGCTGAAGCTCTGGCCCACAGTGGGAGGGACACATTCCCTGAAGCAAATGATCCCCCTGGCACGGCTTCACCAAGGGGACCCTGGCCCCAGGGCTGACCCACCCCCTGCCTCTGTTCCTCCACTTCAAGCCCTGTGGGCTGGAGAACAGGGTCGGAACACATCGGAGCAATGGTGCCCAGATGGACCTCTACACAGGTAAGGGGGTACTCAGGCCCCGGACCCTTGGTTTCAAACCCCCTGTGGTTTGAAATCTGGGCTCAATCACTCGCTAGCTGATTGACACCAGGCAGATGATATCACCTCTCTGTGCCCGTTTCCTCGCCTGTCTAATGGAGCCAAGAATGTCCTGACTCAGAACTGTGTTGTGAGGATCAACGGGACGGTGCCCGAGCCACACTCAGTGCAGTGTCAGATGGCAGGACAAACATAGGCTCCGTTGTGGTTATCAGCCAGGAGCACACAGGATGTGACTGGGTGCCACGTCTGGTTCCTCTTTCTCTGTCTGCTTGGATGCACTCAGGAGCAGCAGAAGATAGGAAAAGTGGGACCCAAACAGTGGCGCACTGGTGAAACGTGTTCCTGTTCCCTTTGGGAGGCTGAGTGGGTGATGTGGCATGGGAACAAGGCTCAGGCGTCAGAGCCCTCATCTTCACTGAGACAAGCATAAAGGACCTGGGGTCGTGTGTCTGGGTGGGCCCAAGTGACCTAGCAAGTGCCGCCACCTCCTTGTTAAGACCCTATCCTTCTCCCACGTCCTCCATAAGAGCTACCTTCTTCGAGACAATAACAGAAACAGATCAAACTTGGCGTCACTGAAATCAAGGTTCTGAATTCTACCATCACCCCAGCAACAGTGCCATTATGATGAGACACTTGACCCAGCACTTGGGTTGATGTCATTGGCTGTTACCATGGCAACCTAGGTCTCAGCGGGTCTGGTGGAAGCCCGACATCACCTTTTCTTCCAGTGGGATTGGACCGGAGGGGCTGGCAATCTATTTATGTTCTCGAAATGGAAGCAAGCATCTGGGCACCGGAGGCAATGTGTCTTGGAGGAGCTTCCACGGCACTGAACCCCCCGGCCTGCAGCTCTTGCGTCATGTCTCAGGCTAAGTGGCCTCAGGGAGTGGAGACAGACAGGGAACAAAAAAGTAGGCAAGAGGTACCAGTGCCCACTTGAGCCAGGTAGCCTGCAGCTGCTCAGACACCTGGTAGGTGACTAGCACAAGAGGGACACCTCAGGTCTCCATTCTGCCGAAATGCCCAGGGATCATAACACCTCAGGAAGTGCGGGGATGCCAAGATCTTTGGGTGTTGCGTAAAGGAAGATGTTCTGGGTGTCATGTTGGAAAGCATTTGACCTCTCAGGTGTCCACCTGCTTAGGTGTAGACTGAATTCAAAGGTCCTCAGGGCCAGGCAGCATGGAAGGGGAAGAGCACTGAAGAGGGAGTCAGATGCCCTGGGCTCTAGTCCTGGCTCTGCCCCATCATGCCCTGTGAGCCTGTGCAGGTCACATGTTCTCCCTGAACCATTTCTCACAAGCAGATGTGGTGCTAGACAGGGTGGCTTTTCTCACCTCTAAGATTCTTTTTTTTTTTTTTTTTGAGATGCAGTCTTGTTCTGTCGCCCAGGCTGGAGTGCAATGGCGTGATCTCGGCTCACTGCAACCTCCACCTCCCGGGTTCAAGCAATTCTCCTGCCTCAGCTTCCCAAGTGGCTGGGACTAGAGGGGCCTGCCTCTACACCTCGCTAATTTTTGTATTTTTAGTGGAGATGGAGTTTCACCATGTTGATCAGGCTGGTCTTGAACTCCTGACCTCAAGGGATCCACCCACCTTGGCCTCCCAAAGTGTTGGGATTACAGGCATGAGCCACCGTGCCTGGCCTCTCAGCTCTAAGATTCTGACACTCTCTTGAGGAAGCTGGCAATGCCTCAAGGGGACAAGGAAGCCATCAGCTCTTTGAGACACTCTCTGACAGGCAAGGGGTGCCAGGCTGGGATGATCCAGAGGGAGCTGTTTTTTTACAATCCAAGCATGAGGTTAGTTGGCCTTGAACCTTGTCCTTAACTCTGAGTCTCTGCTGACCCTAACCCATGACTGGCTTCATCCCATCTACTGCTGAGTCCCAGGACCCACCCCTGCTAAGCCCAGGATCACCAGGGCATTCCCCCACCTGTCCACCTGGATTCACAGAGAAGCTCACACACAGTCTGGAGAGCAAATGACCAAAGCGAGGGCCTCAGCTCAGGAATGAGGAAGGCCAGGCCCAGAGAGGTCAGGAACATACAGAAGGCCACACAGCACATTAGCAGGGCTGGCTAGGAACAAAGGGCTCCTCTCTCTCACCCAGTGCTCTGCCCTCTGCTTTGTGCTTCTCCCCACCCTCTCAGCTTCTTCCCTCCTGCTCCAGGACCATGCACGGGGTAGGTAATGTGGCTCTGCCAGAGGCGGGGTCTCCTGGGCCATGAGGCCTCTGCCTTAGGGCCGCTCCCAGCCCAGCCTGAAGTGGTCCAGGTCCCATCCTTGGCACAGAGGTGAAGGGATGACTATACCAGTGGCCATCGATATGGGTGAGCACAAGGAGTGGCTGCAGCCCTTTGTCCTTCTGGGGTCTTTGTCCCCTTCCCTCCAGGCTTGAGCTGGGAAAGGAATGTCCTGGAGACTGAGGTGGGGCTGGGCCAGGCATGGAACCAACATTCAAACCACTACACACAAAGAAAGGAGGAAAGAGGAGGAAGAGGGAGGTGCGGGCGGGGTGGGGGTGGCTCCATCGAGATCCCACTGCCCTTGACTGGCAGCTGGTGGAAAGAGGGAGGAGGGTGAGTGTGACCTCCAGTATCCTCTTCATCCCCTTCTACAGCCTGTTGTGGCCCTGAAGAGGAAGCTGCTGGGCCTGATGCATGGGGGACAAGGGGGTGGACAGACATCCCCACCACTGAGATAGAGGGGTGTATGCCCAGGGATCATAACACCCCAGGAAGTGCGGGGATGCCAAGATCTTTGGGTGTTGCATAAAGGAAGATGTTCTGGGTGTCATGTTGGAAAGCATCTGACCTCTTTACACATACACAACCCTACCCTACGGGGGGTGCTGTCAGAATTAGTGAAATCAGATGCAATTGATGGGCAGGGAGGGGTGGGGTAAGAGACAATTCCAATGCAATGCCAGGAGGCCAGGCTCCCACTGTTCACTTGAGACACTCCTCTCCACCCGGGTGGGGACAGGGGACACGCTCACAGGGCGGGACATTCTGGAGGTGTGGGTACAGGTGAAGGGAAACGGGAGGCACAGCCAGGAGTGGGGCAGGAGGGAAGGCCAGTGTGTGGGCAGGCTGAGGAGGGAATGTGACCCCCCTCAAGTCCCCAAAGTGGCAGGCAAGGGAGGGGCCCTGGATGAGGTGGCCCCTCATGCCTTGGCCTTCCCCTTGCAGACATCGAAGGCGGCCTTCGTTGCACCCCCAAAGGCCTCCACCAACTTGTCTTCCCAGGGAAGGACGTTGCCCAGCAGTGGTGCGGTGCAGTTGGCAATGCCCAGGACCTGGGCTGGAGTCAGAGCGTGGTCCCACAGGTTAAACTGGGTGATGTCACCCACAAAGGCCTGGGTGGCATCAAACCGGCCGCCCAGGGTATCCTGAGCCAAGACAGCAGCAGAGAAAGAAGAGATGTGGAGTGAGGGAGGAGAAAAGACAGGCTGGCTCAGTCAGGCTCTTGTCCCCGAGGAAGCTACCTTCGTCCCCACTGAAGCCCCACCCCCAAGGCTCTAGCCCCACCTCCAAGATTCTAGTTCCTTAGGTAGGTCTCTGATCTCTCTGGCCCTCAGTCTGCCCATCTGCACAATGGGGAGGTCCAGCTCCAATACCAGCCTGAGTCTTACCTGCTCCTGGCCCAAGATAAGGATCCCATGAGGCTTGATGGGGTGCCAGGCAGCCAGGTTCTCACCGGACCCCTGCAGCTCCCCGTCCTGGTAGGCAGACCATAGGCCATCCCTTGTAGTCCAGGCGATGCAGATGTGGTGCCAGCCATTGTCCTTCAGGCTCAGGGGCAGCTGGGCCACCTGGACACAGGTCCCCCAGCCCCAGGTCAGAGGTGCCCCAAGGCCCAAGGCCCAAGGCTGAGGCAGTGGGGCAGGGCTAGGGAGACCCACGTCCATCCTTCCAGGGCCTGACCCCAGGCCTGACCCTCTCCATCCTCCTGACCAGTGTCTTTCCTCGATTCCTCTCTCCTCTTTCCTCAAAGACCAAACCAGATCACAAGGGACTCTCTGGTTTTGGTTTTCAGTTGCCACTAAGTAGTTCATTCACTCTCCAACAGGCTCATTAAGGTCATCGGGGTGGAGAGACGTCTCAGAATCCCAACCTCCTCTGAACACCTCACACAGCACCCAGCACACAGCTGGGGCTCAAGTAGTACTGGCAGGGATAGAATGAACCTCAGACTCAGAGGCCAGGCTCCAGCATCTGGTTCTGGCTCTGCCAGCAACCCCTGTGTGACCTGGGGAGGCTGCTCCTTCCTCACTGGGCCTCAGTTTCCTCATCTGTAAAGTGAAAAGGTCAGACAAGGGATAGCAAATCTACAGCTGCTGCCTCTTCCTCGACCCACGGCAGACATAGCCAATCAATCACAAGCCTTGATTCAGCTCAGGGCTCTGGGAAGCCACTGCTGATGGGTTACAGCTGGCCTGTGAGATGAAAGGTGCTTGCTGTCTGTGGATTTGGTGCTCCCAAAGGGCTCCCTCATCTGGTAAGATTTCTGAGATTACATTTTTTCTTTTTGAGATGGAATCTCACTCTGTTGCCCAGGATGGAGTGCGGTGGTGTGATCTTGGCTCACTGTAACCTTCATCTCCAGGTTCAAGCAATTCTCCTGCCTCAGCCTCCTGGGTAGCTGGGATTACAGGCATGCACCACCATGCCCGACTAATTTTTTTTGGAATTTTAGTACAGACGGGGTTTCCCCATGTTGGCCAGCCTGTCAACATGGTGAACACCTGATCTCAGGTGATCCACCTGCTTCGGCCTCCCAGTTACAGGCATGAGCCACTTTGCCTGGGCTGAGATCACAATTTAATGTAACATTCTCTGAGGCCTACATGGTCCCTGGCTTTGTTGTGGACACTAGGGGTGTGGAGTTGGTCCTTGCCTTAAATGAGCTGAGTCTTCAGGAAGGGAAAGACCGGGCAATGCTGTATGACAAAATAATGGAGGCCATATGGGAGGTACAGAGGCTGCCAGGCCCAGAGGAAGAGGGGATATGAGAATAGAAGCCATGTCAAAACCCGTCTGGAAGGACAATGGAGCCACCATTCCATTGCTAGGCAAACCAAGTGGTGGGCACAGCAGAAGTAAAGGCTTAGAGGCTGGAATAAAAGGGGAACAGTGAGCAGTCTGTGAGATTGGCTCTCGGGATTCCCGAGTCCCAAAACAATGCTGTGCGGTGCCCTGTCCAGGGTGCTGAATTTCCTCTAATGAGAACTGAGTGCTGAACTTGGGCAAGGACGGCAGTGAGAGGGTGACAAAGGGCAGCAGGATCTAGATGTAGTCCAGCCATCCCGGTGGTCGATGGCCATAGAGTTTGTTGGGCCACAAGGGAAAGTCACTGCTCCCTGGGCCCTCCCTCCCTCCTCTTTCTCCTCCTCCTCATCCTCCTTCTCCAGAAAGCTATGAAATGCACCTTCTGCTAAGCTGGGTTCTGATAGGTGTCAACCACTCCTAATGGCTCTATGTGTTGTGGGCTGGTCACAGGTGGGTATAATACACGGTATTTGCATTTCCAGGGGGGTATCAGTAGACCACCATGTCTGCAAGGCCCAAAGCAATGTGGCAGGCAGGGGAGGAACTTTAGGAGTGAATGACAGTGATAAGATGCTCCCCTCCTTCCTCCCTCAATCACCATGCTCCTGCCACATCATTCTCCACAGTCAAGGCCTGTCCTTGTCCTGCCTTCCAGCCAGTCTGAGGGATGGGGATTGGGGAGGGAGGCCTGGGCATGAGGAAGATGGTTGGGCCAAGGGAAGAACAGGGGAGGGGTTAAGAGGTGGTTTCTGGAGCCCAAGACCCTGAATCACATCACACCCCAGCAGCTGTGTAGCCAGGGTGCATTATTTCCCCTCTCTGAGCCTCAGGTTCTCCATCTGCAAAATGAGGATAATGAGTGCAGTTGGGAAGGTCAAGGATAATAATGTGAGTAAACTGCTTATTAGCGTAGTGCTTGGTATAATAAAAATAGCTCACAGTTATTGATGTCTGCTCAATGCTAGGCTCTGCTCAAAGACCTCCACATGCAGTTAGGCCACTTCTCACTACAACCCTAAGAGGCAAGGGCTCTTATCATTCCTGCTTTAGAGATAAGGAAACTGAGGCACAGGGCAGGTAGATGACTAGTAGACTGTGGTGAAGATGCAAAAGCAAGACTCAAACCAGCATTAGGGCCCCAGAGTCTGAGCATAACACCTTTCTACTCTCCATAGGGGGGAAGGCCCAAGGGGTTGGCTTCAGGTGAGTAGAAGGAACGAGCAGGCCATTGGCACTCCCTTCCTCCCTCCATCCCCAGGTAGGTCTGTGTACCTCCCTTCTCTTTAAGTCCAGGAGGATGAGCAGGGCCCTGGAGGCAGATACCTCAGCCCTGCCCATAGCTGGGTCACTGGGAAGTCACTGGATCTCCAAGAGCCTCACTTGCCTCCTCTGTAAAATGGAACAACACTTAGAGCCTCTGTAGACACAGCCTCTCTTTAGGCAGCCCCGTGTCTGGCTTGTCTTTATATTCCCAGAGCCCAGCCCAGCACACAGTAGGCATTTAATGTGTGCTGAATATGCAAAGCAGGAGAATGAGCAACAGAATGAGAGCCCAGTATGGAGAGGGCTCTCCTGGATCACCCCACCAGCCCTCCCTGCTGGCCACACCCACCTTGTCATTGATCAGCAGCTCCATAGGCTCATGGCCCGCCTCCAGCAGCACAATCTCATTGGCCTGCCCAGGCACCGAGTAGGAGAAGGGGGTGCCCTGGCCAGGGCCACTGGACCTGGACCGCAGCCACATGCAGGCGGTGAATGCGTAGAGCTCGGGCAGCACCTTCCGCACGCGGGCGTACATGTAGTTGTTGCGGATGGGGATGCTGATCTTGAAGGCGTCTGGGGGATTGTAGGCTGAGGACCCTGAGGGTGGGCAAGGCAGACGTGGTGGAGGTCGGTGGACGCCGAAAAGGGTGGGTGCACAGGGCACACTTCAGAATGAAGCCTAACAGCTCGTAGGGTACCTGCTGCATGCCCGGTGCCTTTGGGGCTTCTCTGCTGTCTAGACCTCAGACGTCCTGAGACTACATCTTGCCTCCCCCACTTCCCAGCCATGTGACCTTCAACAAATTAAACTTGTTTCCCCTGGCCCCCTTGGAGACCCAGGGTAGATGGGCCAGAGGCAGGACTGAGGAGGGCTGGAGAATACTTCTCCTGTCTCTGTGCTCCAGCCAGGATGCTGGCCCCGAGCCACCAGACCTGTCCCTCTGCTGCAGCTGTGCCCCTGCTACGGCCCCTTCATTCTGAAATTTGCTTCCCACCTCTGTTTTTAAAAAGTAGCTTGAGGCTGCCTCCTCTAGGAAGCAGCTTAGTTTTGAATTTCTTTTCTTTTTTTGAGACAAGGTTTTCCTCTGTTGTCCAGGCTGGAGTGCAGTGGTGCAATCTTGACTCACTGCGACCTCCACTTCCCAGTCTCAAGCAATTCTCCTGCCTCAGCCTCCTGAGTAGCTGGGATTACAGGCATGTACCACCATATCCAGCTAATTTTTGTATTTTTAGTAGAGCATTTTGCCATGTTGGCCAGGCCGGTCTTGAACTCCTGACCTCAGGTGATCCGCCCACCTTGGCTTCCCAAAGTGCTGGGATTACCAGCGTTAGCCACTGCACCCAGCCCTGTATTTTCTTCTCCTGAACCACTCCACATCTAAGTAGGTCCCAGCTAACTGCTCATCATTTCCCCTGTTTTCCCCAACTTGTCTGTAAGCCTCTTAAGGGTAGTCCTCACAAGACTTCAAAGCTGAAAGGTCCCTGAGAAATCATGAGATCTGAGGAAAACTGAGGCCTGGGGAAGGATGTGACCTTCTGAGGTCACAGAGCCAGCCAGAGACAGATATGCAACCAGGAGCCAGGTCTCCTTATGCTCATACTTGTACCCTGCCCGTTGTGTTTCTCTGACCCCTTGGCAGTGCCAAGCACAGGTGTTAAATAAAATCCTGACTGATTCATTGAAAATGGTATTTCGTGGGTGGTTAAATGTGTGACTGTGGAGTCAGACCCTTGTTTGAGGTCTAAACCCACCACTTATTGTCTGTGTGACCTTGAGCATGACACTTGACTTCTCTGAGCTTCAGTTTTCTCATCTGTGAAAACTGTGAAGATTAAATCAGCAGATGCGTCAAGTACTTAGCACACTCCCAGGACACAGTAAATGCCAGAAAAGGAGACCTGTTAATAATGCTGATAATTATAATCAAATCCTCGAATGATTCTCTTCATCTTGTTTTCCACAGCCTCCTCCCAACCCTCCCGTCCGTCCATGTTAGCCTCTGGGGGAGCATGGATATATTTTTTGAGTGGATCTGTCATTCTGAGGATCCCTCCAATGCCCTCCACAAGACTCAGGACCCAGGACCCACCGTGCTCCAGTTCAGCCACGCGACCCTGCAGGACGTCCAACTCCTTCTCCATTTCCTGCCGCTGTCGGTGGCCACTGTGGCTGAGGGCAGCGCGCTCCTTCTCCAGTGCCAGCACCTGGGCCAACAGCTGCCCCTCCAGCTGGTCCATCTTGGAGTGCAGGCCGGCGGGCACAGCAGAGACTGGGGCTGGGGCAGCTGAGAGGTTCACACGGGCCGGGAGCTCCTGCTGTTCATGGGGCAGAGAAAGAGAAGTCAATTGGGGGGAGGAAGGAAAGGCTTGGGACACTCAGATGGCTGCCACCCCTGATCAGTGACTGCAGGGGAGCCTCAGCTTCCCCAGTATGCAAAATGAGGATGACAATGCCAACAGCAGGCAACAGATGCATCCTGGGTGCCTGGCAGGCTCTGTTCCCGGTGCTGGTGCATGACGGTGAGCAGCAGGCAGAGCTCTCCCCTGCCCTCGAGGACAGCTCAGCCCATGGCGGGAGTGTGGGGCCTGGCCATGAGTGCTGTGAAGGTCCCCCAGGTGGTTCCAGGGTGCAGTCAAAGCTGAGTGCCCCACTCTAGCCCTTCATAGCAGTAAGGGTAGATGCTGATGGGCCGGTAAAGGGGCGGACTGTCTTAGTCTTCGTTCCCTCACTCAGCAAGCTTCCTAGAATGGTCCTCTGCAAAAGGCTCTATGTGGCCACTGGGCCCACCCGGGGTGTGAACCAGGGACTTCTGGAGCAAGGCTTCAGTGGCTTGACCATAACAGGGTGGCAGGTGGCTAAAATCATATACTTTGGAGTCAGACAGGCCACAGTTCAAAACCAGCTCGGGAACCAATCTGTTATGTGACTCAGAAAATTCTTTGACTTCTCTGAACTCTCAAAAGAGAGCTGCACCTATTTGCAGAGTTGTGGGGAAGACTAAGTAGTAAATATCAATAAACAAGAGCCTGCTTATTGCAATTGTTGTCTAGGGCAGAGTGTTCCAGGGTAGGCTCTGACACCCCTCATCCAGCCCAGGATGAGATCCAAGTGTTTAGAGTTCCCCACCACATGCCAGACCAATCTTAAGACCCCATGGGCAGCAGAACTGGGACAGGAGCTAGGAGGGTTTCTTTCCCCCTCTCCTGCTGGAAGAAGGCCCTTCTGGGGTGGAGGGTGGCAGGTGAGGCCACAGGCCCAGACTCTTGAAGGGGACAGTCTGTGGCAGACGTCATAGAAACGTCAGTAGAGGATTAATAATTCAATGAACTGCTAGGAGCTAAATTAAACCTTCACCATCCTCCACCATCCTCCTGGCTTCCCCATCCTCCATGGTACCCACTACCAGGCCTGATCCTTGCGAACTCCCCAAAGGCCGGGGAAGTTTTTGCTTAGTCAGTTCCTTGCTCCCAGCTTAGGCCCCAGACAAGAACTCACTGTATTCTGTGATTCCATCACTGAGCAAACATTCAGAGGGCACCCCCATTGTGCTGGGCACTGCCCCAGGTGCTGAAGTCGAGGCTGGAGGCAAAACAGAAAACCAAGAACCCCACCTTTCCTGAGCTTCCTAAGCTGCAAGGGGATGGCCTTGCAGCTTGGGACAAGCATAGAATCCCTTGCCCAGCCGATGGCCTTGTCAGTCATTTGCTGGGTGACATTGAACACCCTGGCGGCTGCTTGACTGAGGGCTGCGTGTTCCTTCTGAGCTGCGCACTCCTCCTTCACCTCTCTGAGCCTGTTTTCTAGCCATGTGACAAGGGGAGAAGTGTGTCCCCTGTGTCAGAGTGCTGGGGGCAAAGGACCACTGCCATGCCCAGTGCCTGAGACTTGGGAGCTGCCAGTGTGGAAAGCAATGGAACTTTGCATTCAGGAGTTTGAGGGACCGGCCCTTAACTCTGCCACTGCACCATGAGAATGGGGGCAGGTGGGCTAACACCTCCAGGATCATTTTTCCCCTTCTATAAGACGGGCACTTGGAATGCTCAGCCTCCAGCACTGGTCAGCATTAAATGATGATGTGTAAGGGAAATGCCCAGAGCCTGGCCCTCAGTGGGAGCTGAGGGCATGGTTTTGGGTGCATAGGATAGGTGGGAAGACTGAATGGGATGCTCTTACTGCCGGCTGAGCCCCAGCAGACACCTCGTAAACATTCTGTCTCTGAATCTGCTTCACATGCTAGTGTCCCCATTTCAGGGGCAGGAAAACTGGGGTGAGTCACCCAAGATCATGCCAGGAGCAGCAGCAGAGTGGGATCTGAGCCTAGCAGTCCCGCTCGCCCGCCCCCTCTGCATCACTTGCCATGCAGCCTCTCTTGGCACCTGCCAGGCAGCCTCTCCAGAAACCCAATTCCCTCTCTGTCCCACGGGTCCCCTGGCTCCCATGGGAAAGGTGAGGTTGCTTCACAGGGCAGGGGCTCTGGTGCCACTCACACTCAGCAACCCCTGTCTTCTGCTGGCACTGGGGAGGGGCTGAGGATCAACCTCTCTCCATTCCAGGCTATAAGATGGGGCAAGTCCCTGAGGTCGTCCAGGCTGGCTCTGGAAAGGGACCCATGAAGCAGTGGGAGAGGGGGACTCTGGACACCATTATCCCCTTCCATGTCCTGCGTGAGAAGTTGTGGCTGCCCATCCACACAGATGCCGACTTGGCCCACCAGGCTGGGGTGGAGGCCAGGTGAAGGCGGGCATGGGATGGATGTAGGAGCCTCACAGTGCACTTGGCCTCTCCAGTTACATTCATTTTTGCTATCCTGAGGGCTTCTTCTGCCAAGGTGCCTACAAACTCTGGCTCTGGTGCAGACTAACCGCAAAGCCTCCGTTTCCCTTCCTATAAAGTGGGGACAGGCTGGGCATGGTGGCTCATGTGTGTAATCCCAGCACTTTGGGAGGCCAAGACAGGCACTTGAGCCTGGGAGTTCGAGACCAGCCTGGGCAACATGGTGAAACCCCGTATCTACAAGAAATACAAAAATTAGCCGGGCATGGTGGTGCATGCCTGGAGCCCCAGCTACTTGGGTGGCTGAGGCAGGAAGATTGCTTAAGCCTGGGAGGCTGAGGCTGCAGTGAGTCATAATCGTATGATTGCACTACAGCCTGGGCAACAGAGTGAGACAAAAAAAAAAAAGCGTGGGCCAGGCGTGGTGGCTCACGCCTGTAATCCCAGGACTTTGGGAGGCAGAGGTGGGTGAATCATCTGACATCAGGAGTTTGAGACCAGCCTGACCAATGTGGAGAAACCCCTTCTCTACTAAAAATACAAAATTAGCTGGGCATGGTGGCATATGCCTGTAGTCCCAGCTACTCAGGAGGCTGAGACAAGAGAATCGCTTGAACCGGGAGGTGGAGGTTGCAGTGAGTCGAGATCATGCCATTGCACTGCAGCCTGGGCAACAAAAGCGAAATTCAGTCTCAAAAAAAAAGTGTGTGTGGGGTAAAACAGGCTTCCTCTTGTCCATTCCCAGAACAGATGAAAGGATGGGAGGACAAGTGACAGGCCCTCACGGACTATAAAAGCGTAATGCCGGGCCGGGCACAGTGGCTCACGCCTGTAATCCCAGCACTTTGGGAGGCCGAGGCGGGTGGATCACGAGGTCAAGAGATCGAGACCATCCTGGTCAACAAAGTGAAACCCCGTCTCTTCTAAAAATACAAAAATTAACTGGGCATGGTGGCGCGCGCCTGTAATCCCAGCTTCTCGGGAGGCTGAGGTAGAAGAATTGTTTGAACTCAGGAGGTGGACATTACAGTGAGCCGAGATCGCGCCATTGTACTCCAGCCTGGGTAACAAGAACGAAACTCCGTCTCAAAAAAAAAAAAAGCGTAATGCCAACTGTGGGGCTTGACTACATTAGCTGATGGGGATGCTCATTACCTCCAGAGCTTTCAAGTGACTTGGATGGCCCACAGGGTGACAGGTTCAGCTATCCACTGAGACCGATGGACTTCCACGAAGCCTTAGACTGAGACAATCGGCTCACAGGGTGCATTTAATCTCAGGGCTGGAATGGCCAGGGGAGGGCCTTCCTGGTCCCAGGCACTGTTCTGTCTTCAGTTCCCCACCCCTCTCTATGCCAAGCATGAGGCCAGAGGGGCACGTGCTGAGTGAGGCTGTGCACCAGGCCCATCCTTGGCACTGGCATGCGTTTACTCATGAATCCTCACAGCCACTCGCTGAGGCTGGCACTCTTTGTATCCTCATTTCACATATGGGAAACTGAGGCAGGAGTCCTTTTGAATTGTCTATGGCAATGGGGCTGGGCCAAGCCGATACACCTGGAGCCAGCACTGCCTCTCTCCAGCAAAAGGAGAGAGGGAGGAAGACTTGCCAGGAATAACAGAGGGAGGAAGACCTGCCAGAAAGAACAGGGCGTCGAGGCTATTTAAACAGACGCCGACGTTTCGAGGCGAAACGTGCAGGCTGGGGAGGCGTGCGCTCAAGCTGTTCTTTTGTCAGAGCCGCCGGCTATGCAGCGGCCAGGGAGGGCATGGAGGAGGTGGGCTTGCTGATCGTGTGTGAGCCCCTCCTCGTCCCAGTGTCTGAATCAGAAGAACACGACTCCCACACCCCCACTTCCCATCTGCTGTGGGTGCAGGCTGTGCCGTGTGGGCTCCTGGCCTGATGCCAAGTTGGCCCCTCACCTAAGATGATCGGGGGAAGGATGACGCCAGCAGCCCCCCTCAGCTCCTGCTGGGGCAGGAAGGTGGAGGCTGGGAACCCGTGGCCTGTCCCGCTGGGAGTCCAGGGTGGTGTTTGGCGCAAGTGTGCTGGGCCTACAGCCAGAGCCCCTTATTCTAGGCCCAGCTCAGCCACTAATGTGCCGGGCTCATTAGCACTCAATCAGAATGCTAACAGCAGCAGCTGTCTCCTTCAAGCACCCGAGCACCCGCTGCACGCCAGGCACTAAGGAAGCTCTGTGCAAACAGTTCTAGGCCGCTTCAACAGCCTGGGGACATAGGGAGGCCCACTGAGAGAGGAGGGAACTGAAGCTCTGAGAGGTGCCTGGCTGAGCTCACATACCTGTGACTCTGCAGAGCCAGCTCTCCAGCCTGGCCTTCCTGATCCTGGAATCTGTGCTCATTCCTCAGGCCCACACAGATGGCCTGGGTCTGTTTGTTCATCGGCCAATTGGCCCCAGTGTCAGATGCCCTGCCTAACTCGAAGGCAAGCAGGAGAGGTTCTAATGGTCACGGGAAGTCTAGAAGGTCCAGAAGGTTGTGTCAGACCATGGTGCAGGATAGCTTCACAAATGGAGCCTGAT